AGGTATTTATTCCATACCTACACAACCTTACTTTAGTGATACAGGTATTTATTCCATACCTACACAACCTTACTTTAGTGATACAGGTATTTATTCCATACCTACACAACCTTACTTTAGTGATACAGGTATTTATTCCATACCTACACAACCTTACTTTAGTGATACAGGTATTTATTCCATACCTACACAACCTTACTTTAGTGATACAGGTATTTATTCCATACCTACACAACCTTACTTTAGTGATACAGGTATTTATTCCATACCTACACAACCTTACTTTAGTGATACAGGTATTTATTCCATACCTACACAACCTTACTTTAGTGATACAGGTATTTATTCCATACCTACACAACCTTACTTTAGTGATACAGGTATTTATTCCATACCTACACAACCTTACTTTAGTGATACAGGTATTTATTCCATACCTACACAACCTTACTTTAGTGATACAGGTATTTATTCCATACCTACACAACCTTACTTTAGTGATACAGGTATTTATTCCATACCTACACAACCTTACTTTAGTGATACAGGTATTTATTCCATACCTACACAACCTTACTTTAGTGATACAGGTATTTATTCCATACCTACACAACCTTACTTTAGTGATACAGGTATTTATTCCATACCTACACAACCTTACTTTAGTGATACAGGTATTTATTCCATACCTACACAACCTTACTTTAGTGATACAGGTATTTATTCCATACCTACACAACCTTACTTTAGTGATACAGGTATTTATTCCATACCTACACAACCTTACTTTAGTGATACAGGTATTTATTCCATACCTACACAACCTTACTTTAGTGATACAGGTATTTATTCCATACCTACACAACCTTACTTTAGTGATACAGGTATTTATTCCATACCTACACAACCTTACTTTAGTGATACAGGTATTTATTCCATACCTACACAACCTTACTTTAGTGATACAGGTATTTATTCCATACCTACACAACCTTACTTTAGTGATACAGGTATTTATTCCATACCTACACAACCTTACTTTAGTGATACAGGTATTTATTCCATACCTACACAACCTTACTTTAGTGATACAGGTATTTATTCCATACCTACACAACCTTACTTTAGTGATACAGGTATTTATTCCATACCTACACAACCTTACTTTAGTGATACAGGTATTTATTCCATACCTACACAACCTTACTTTAGTGATACAGGTATTTATTCCATACCTACACAACCTTACTTTAGTGATACAGGTATTTATTCCATACCTACACAACCTTACTTTAGTGATACAGGTATTTATTCCATACCTACACAACCTTACTTTAGTGATACAGGTATTTATTCCATACCTACACAACCTTACTTTAGTGATACAGGTATTTATTCCATACCTACACAACCTTACTTTAGTGATACAGGTATTTATTCCATACCTACACAACCTTACTTTAGTGATACAGGTATTTATTCCATACCTACACAACCTTACTTTAGTGATACAGGTATTTATTCCATACCTACACAACCTTACTTTAGTGATACAGGTATTTATTCCATACCTACACAACCTTACTTTAGTGATACAGGTATTTATTCCATACCTACACAACCTTACTTTAGTGATACAGGTATTTATTCCATACCTACACAACCTTACTTTAGTGATACAGGTATTTATTCCATACCTACACAACCTTACTTTAGTGATACAGGTATTTATTCCATACCTACACAACCTTACTTTAGTGATACAGGTATTTATTCCATACCTACACAACCTTACTTTAGTGATACAGGTATTTATTCCATACCTACACAACCTTACTTTAGTGATACAGGTATTTATTCCATACCTACACAACCTTACTTTAGTGATACAGGTATTTATTCCATACCTACACAACCTTACTTTAGTGATACAGGTATTTATTCCATACCTACACAACCTTACTTTAGTGATACAGGTATTTATTCCATACCTACACAACCTTACTTTAGTGATACAGGTATTTATTCCATACCTACACAACCTTACTTTAGTGATACAGGTATTTATTCCATACCTACACAACCTTACTTTAGTGATACAGGTATTTATTCCATACCTACACAACCTTACTTTAGTGATACAGGTATTTATTCCATACCTACACAACCTTACTTTAGTGATACAGGTATTTATTCCATACCTACACAACCTTACTTTAGTGATACAGGTATTTATTCCATACCTACACAACCTTACTTTAGTGATACAGGTATTTATTCCATACCTACACAACCTTACTTTAGTGATACAGGTATTTATTCCATACCTACACAACCTTACTTTAGTGATACAGGTATTTATTCCATACCTACACAACCTTACTTTAGTGATACAGGTATTTATTCCATACCTACACAACCTTACTTTAGTGATACAGGTATTTATTCCATACCTACACAACCTTACTTTAGTGATACAGGTATTTATTCCATACCTACACAACCTTACTTTAGTGATACAGGTATTTATTCCATACCTACACAACCTTACTTTAGTGATACAGGTATTTATTCCATACCTACACAACCTTACTTTAGTGATACAGGTATTTATTCCATACCTACACAACCTTACTTTAGTGATACAGGTATTTATTCCATACCTACACAACCTTACTTTAGTGATACAGGTATTTATTCCATACCTACACAACCTTACTTTAGTGATACAGGTATTTATTCCATACCTACACAACCTTACTTTAGTGATACAGGTATTTATTCCATACCTACACAACCTTACTTTAGTGATACAGGTATTTATTCCATACCTACACAACCTTACTTTAGTGATACAGGTATTTATTCCATACCTACACAACCTTACTTTAGTGATACAGGTATTTATTCCATACCTACACAACCTTACTTTAGTGATACAGGTATTTATTCCATACCTACACAACCTTACTTTAGTGATACAGGTATTTATTCCATACCTACACAACCTTACTTTAGTGATACAGGTATTTATTCCATACCTACACAACCTTACTTTAGTGATACAGGTATTTATTCCATACCTACACAACCTTACTTTAGTGATACAGGTATTTATTCCATACCTACACAACCTTACTTTAGTGATACAGGTATTTATTCCATACCTACACAACCTTACTTTAGTGATACAGGTATTTATTCCATACCTACACAACCTTACTTTAGTGATACAGGTATTTATTCCATACCTACACAACCTTACTTTAGTGATACAGGTATTTATTCCATACCTACACAACCTTACTTTAGTGATACAGGTATTTATTCCATACCTACACAACCTTACTTTAGTGATACAGGTATTTATTCCATACCTACACAACCTTACTTTAGTGATACAGGTATTTATTCCATACCTACACAACCTTACTTTAGTGATACAGGTATTTATTCCATACCTACACAACCTTACTTTAGTGATACAGGTATTTATTCCATACCTACACAACCTTACTTTAGTGATACAGGTATTTATTCCATACCTACACAACCTTACTTTAGTGATACAGGTATTTATTCCATACCTACACAACCTTACTTTAGTGATACAGGTATTTATTCCATACCTACACAACCTTACTTTAGTGATACAGGTATTTATTCCATACCTACACAACCTTACTTTAGTGATACAGGTATTTATTCCATACCTACACAACCTTACTTTAGTGATACAGGTATTTATTCCATACCTACACAACCTTACTTTAGTGATACAGGTATTTATTCCATACCTACACAACCTTACTTTAGTGATACAGGTATTTATTCCATACCTACACAACCTTACTTTAGTGATACAGGTATTTATTCCATACCTACACAACCTTACTTTAGTGATACAGGTATTTATTCCATACCTACACAACCTTACTTTAGTGATACAGGTATTTATTCCATACCTACACAACCTTACTTTAGTGATACAGGTATTTATTCCATACCTACACAACCTTACTTTAGTGATACAGGTATTTATTCCATACCTACACAACCTTACTTTAGTGATACAGGTATTTATTCCATACCTACACAACCTTACTTTAGTGATACAGGTATTTATTCCATACCTACACAACCTTACTTTAGTGATACAGGTATTTATTCCATACCTACACAACCTTACTTTAGTGATACAGGTATTTATTCCATACCTACACAACCTTACTTTAGTGATACAGGTATTTATTCCATACCTACACAACCTTACTTTAGTGATACAGGTATTTATTCCATACCTACACAACCTTACTTTAGTGATACAGGTATTTATTCCATACCTACACAACCTTACTTTAGTGATACAGGTATTTATTCCATACCTACACAACCTTACTTTAGTGATACAGGTATTTATTCCATACCTACACAACCTTACTTTAGTGATACAGGTATTTATTCCATACCTACACAACCTTACTTTAGTGATACAGGTATTTATTCCATACCTACACAACCTTACTTTAGTGATACAGGTATTTATTCCATACCTACACAACCTTACTTTAGTGATACAGGTATTTATTCCATACCTACACAACCTTACTTTAGTGATACAGGTACATGTGTATCTTACCATAATGTTATGTACCACCTTTCCTTTTCTTATCACATTATCTTCATCATCCCGAAAGTTTCATTTTTGCTATTTTTCATTTGAAGCTTGTGTAAACTGTGTGAAATATACACTTGATAAATGATAAATCTGTTGTCATTCTGCTAGAGATTTAGTTAGTACTCTTGAAAATTTTAACACTGCAAACTTGATCCAGGAACAAAATAAGATTGACTTGTAAAATTAAAGCACTTTATAGAAACAGTTCCCCGAAGAACTTGTCACAATCTGATAAAAGCACTGTGTCTATAATTCTGCTACTACACCTTGCAAGGTAGTGCCACATGCCTGGTACTTCCCACAATAAGCTTAGCATACTCACGCCGTCAAAGCAGGCCCGTGAGGCCATCTCATTGTAACCAAAAGATGGCCCCTCAAACACGGCTGTCGGTAGTGTTAACAGGTCTCGTAGGTAGTCCTCAAACCGCTGTCTGTTCAGGTACCCACTCGAGTCAGACAACTGGGTAAAGATGTCTACAACAGTTTATTAGCACATTTTAATGTCAAATCATACCAAAGATATAACAAAAATGGTCCTGTCGGTTTTTTTACACTACAGAAAATTCATGTGGCGTCTATGAATAGCCTACACCTTTATATATGATATCCCATTTCCTTATCTTAGTTCAGCTCCTTGCACTCTCTTATATTGACCTTGTCATTTAGAATTAATTAAACTAGTTCCAAATTCACTTGTTTAGCTAAACCATTTCTATCATACATAAAGGATTTAAAGATAACTTATGATTTTATGAAATCTGCTTCTGCTAAAGAAATCATAACGAGTGTTTGAGATTCTTTATAAAGGGTTTAGCTAACACTATCCCCACATCAAATCCAGACAATTAATAGAGCTGATATGGTTTCTTCTGCTGTCATGGAGCTTGCAGAAGTTGACATTTTAACCCTTTCACTATCGTAGACCATAATGGACTCATCCCAATAAATGCATGGTAGAGTCCATTAAAGTTACCTAGGGTTGAAAGGGCTAATATCTACTAATATGGAATGTACCATAGCCATTTATGTATTATCTTGAAACCTGCTAAGACAGGTTTCCTGCTTAGACAGGTTTCAAGTCCTTTTTAAAACACAGTCTTTAAATGAACAGCCTCATTCTACATTTATGGAATTTTGGAGGTTTGATTTCAGTAAAACCTGCATCTGAGTAGAAAGCAACAGACTAGTAGCGGAAAATGATTGAACATGGCTCTATAAATCATTATCAAAATGGGGGAAACACTAGTGTGTCTCAAAAAACATATACAAAAGACAAATGTGACAAATCTCCGGTACTGAGCACAGTACTCATCCTTTGTTTAATTAAAGCCACTCTAATGGGGTGTGGTTTCCATGGCAACATGTGGGTGTGACTCACACTGCTGTCAGATACGGCCTAATCACCTCCATGTACAATAACCGCAAATTAAATTTAGAAACAATTACAGCAACAAAAGCTTAATGTGTTTTTCAATGACAGAAGTGATCGTGATGCAAGTCAAGATTTACTATAGCCATGCTGATCAGTAATTATACCACATTTTAAAAATGTTATGCAAATTTTCTTTGCACTGTTGCAGTTATTTATTGTAATCTAAACCTGTTGATCTTTTTGTGTAATTATTCATTATATCTAAGAACTTGTCCATTACTAGGTAGCTGTATATTATTAAGGCACTGGCTCATAATTTTTACTAGGGTTTATCTGTTTTAAGCATATGTGAAACTGCAAATAGAATTTTTTCATAAACAATGAAACCACCAGATGAGATGCATGAAGCAGGATATATGAGGGGTGGTCAGGAACATGAGGGGTGGACAGGAACATGAGGGGTGCACAGGAACATGAGGGGTGCACAGGAACATGATGGGTGCACAGAAACATGAGGGGTGCACAGGAACACGAGGGGTGCACAGGAACACGAGGGGTGCACAGGAACACGAGGAGTGCACAGAAACACGAGGGGTGCACAGGAACATGAGGAGTGCACTGAAACATGAGGGGTGCACAGGAACATGAGGGGTGCACAGGAACATGAGGGGTGAACTAGAACATGAGGGGTGCACAGGAACACAAGGGGTGCACTGGAACATGAGGGGTGCACTGGAACATGATGGGTGTACTGGAACATGATGGGTGCACAGGAACATGAAGGGTACACAGGAACAAGAGGGGTGCACAGGAACATGAGGGGTACACAGGAACATGATGGGTGCACTGGAACATGAGGGGTGCACAGGAACATGAAGGGTGCACAGGAACATGAAGGGTGCACAGGAACATGAGGGGTGCACAGGAACAAGAGGGGTGCACAGGAACATGACGGGTGCACAGAAACTTGAGGGGTGCACAGGAACGTGAGGGGTACACACTTGATATGAAATGTACACAGGAGATATGGGCTGTAAAAAGGAAATAGGAGGGTACACAGGGGATGTGAAGTGTACATAGGAAATATTAGGAACACATAGGAGATAACACCTGAGAAACGAGAGAAAGACGTGAGATATGAAGTGTAAATGGGGGATATGAGGTGTACACAGATAACATAAGGTGTACACTAGAGATACACTGTATAAGGTGTACACAGGTAACATGAGATGTACACAAGAGATATAAGGTGTACACAGGTAACATGAGGTGTACACAGGTAGCATGAGGTGTACACATGTAACATGAGGTGTACATAGGTAACATGAGGTGTACACAGGAGATATGAGGTGTACACAGGTAACATGAGATGTACACAGGAGATATGAGGTGTACACAGGAGACATGAGGTGTACACAGGAGATATAAGGTGTACACAGGTAACATGAGATGTACACAGGAGATATGAGGTGTACACAGAAGATATGAGGTGTACACAGGAGATATAAGGTGTACACAGGTAACATGAGGTGTACAAAGGAGATATGAGGTGTACACAGGTAACATGAGGTGGACACAGGAGATATGAGGAGTACACAGGAGATATGAGGTGTACACAGGAGGTATAAGGTGTACACAGGTAACATGAGGTGTACGCCAGAGATATAAGGTGTACACAGGTAACATGAGGTGTACAAAGGAGATATGAGGTGTACACAGGTAACATGAGATGTACACAGGAGATATGAGGTGTACACAGGTAACATGAGGTGTACACAGGTAACATGAGGAGTACACAGGAGATATGAGGTGTACACAGGTAACATGAGGTGTACACATGCGATATGAGATGTACACCGGTGGTATGAGGTGTACACAGGCAATATGAGATGTACACAGGTGATATGAAGTGTAAACATGTGATAAAAGGTGTACACATGCAATAAGAGGTGTACACAGGCGATAGGAGGTGTACACAGGCAATATGAGGTGTACACATCCAATAGGAGGTGTACATAGGCAATATAAGGTGTACACAGGTGATATGAGGTGTACACAGGTGATATGAGGTGTACACAGGCAATATGAGGTGTACACAGGTGATGTGAAGTGTACACAGGTGATAGGTGTACACATCCAATAGGAGGTGTACACAGGTGATATGAGGTGTACACAGGCGATGTAAGTTGTATACAGGCAATAGGAGAATTAAAGCATAAGCAGGATATACCAGAAATATTGCCACTTACAGCGTAGCTTGTCCATCAGTTTGCCAGCACACATGTGGGACAATGCCACCTTGAGACAGAACACTCGGATCCGCCCTCGGCCGGCACTGTCAAAGAAAAAATCAGGTCAAAGATGCGGTACTATACAATCCAATACAGTTGATAATACTGTTCACATCTTAGTTCCCTGTCAAATTCATTCAAACTTTATTTCCAAAATTAATAAAATATTACTTTCGAAATCCAGAAGATCAGGTACATACGAGATATATCCCTAAGGATTTCTATAACAGTCATACCTGCCCGTGTTTTTGCAGGTCAACCTGCAATTGACCTCATAACCTGCAAAGATTGTAGTTTGTTTTAGAATTATTTGCACTGCTCATCCAAATATTGAAAACGTTTAAAAATCACATTTTTTAAGATTAAACTTTTAAAATACTCCCTTATTAAAGACTTATTACTATGGTATCAAAAGGCAAATAGTAATAGTTTGAATTTCATATTACTAACTTTGATGGATTCGAAAAGTTCACATACTTAAATGACCTGCAACTAACCGGCTTGACCTGCATTGTATTTATGACCCTCATTGTGGAATCACTAATCTATTAGAGATGGTTTAGGAGTTCCTTCCCCTGTTACATGTAATTCTAATGAGTCAATTATGTCTGTTGATTGTTGCCTTAAAACATATTTACCCTAATGTAAAATAAGTTAAGTGTATGCAAAAATCGAGATAGCTTATGACTGATACTAATTATGAAAGCTAGTTTAATAGCACATTTTGATATACTCAGTAGTAAATAACTGTAGTTGGTAGGCATTTCTAACAATCTATCAATCCCTATAAAGGGGCTCACCTGTCCAAGTCAAGTTATACAAGCAATCCTTAAACTGACTTATTCTAGTAATAGTCAAACATTCAACTGACATAATAAGGCTAAATACCTGAATTACATAATTACCTGTCCTAAATAATACAGGTCAACCCTTTTGTTTACTGGTTCCCTGTCCCAGATAGTAAAGGTAAATAGTTAACCTTCTTGATTACCTGTCCTAGGTAAGATCAGAGATCACCTGTGGTTTACCTGTCTATGACAGTAAACCTGTCCTAGGTAAGATCAGAGATCACCTGTTGTTTACCTGTCGTAAGCGTTGATGAGCCAGCTAAGCAGCATCTGTATACACTGGTCATTGTCCACCTGTTGTGGGGAGGGTAGACGCTTGTTCAGATGACAAAATATACTGGACAACACCGACTCCACCCTTGAGCCGTTGAGCTCAGATTCTGGCTCCAGAGTGTTAAGGCCATTCTCTCGGAAGGCTTCAATAATGTTCCATATGTCCACTAGGTACACTGCAAACACAATAAGATTTATTTCAAACAATACAATTGTGAAGATTTCACTTGTGTAAGTAATAACAAATGATATAAGTTTGTTTTTATTTGTGTTGGAACAAATATTGGTGAGATAATTGGATTTGTCATTGTATTTCCTTACGAGTTATCTCTAAAAAAATCACTTTTTACACAAAGAAACTACAGTACTACTGGATTATTTATGTTTATCTGTTTTATAGGAATGATCTTTTATCATATTTACATTCAAGTGACCTTAAAGCAATCATTCCACCCAAAATATTCACAGTATAGAACTTAAATTTTGAGGGAACAGATTTTTGGGGCTGACATTTTATACAGCACTGTTAATACTGGGTAGTCAATAATTTCTGTATCTAAATGGAAACAGATTTGTTAGGGTACGTTTTGTGTTTTGGCTGTGAATATACCCCCCAGGTGTGTAAATATACTCCCCAGGTGTGTAAATATAAAACACAGCAAACTACAAGTACTACACTGTACCTAGATGTATATTTGTATCATTGTGCACATTTTTTAGAGTGCAAATCATGTAAAAGATTGACTGAAGAATAAAGTTACATAAGACTGCAGCATTATAGTGCAGTGTTCCCTATAATGGTGGGATGATGGATGCACAGATGGCTTGATTGCGACAGGCTAAGTCAGGTCAAGTGTGTCGATAAACAAGACTGGTACATGTGCAGCAAGCTTTAGTGCTCAACGCCTTGCACCGTTAATGACACACGTTAAATGTTTTATTGACAGAAGTGTTAAATATAATGGTAAAAGAGCTGAATAGTGGAGGAAATCCTAATCCCCTGAGAGTGAAATTGGAAGTAGGTTTTTATCGACCCCCTCCCCAACTGTCATGTGTCAATAGCTCCCACCGTCACCCTATTCCGGTACTTAAAGCGCGGATATCAGGATCACCACATCTTAACAACTCCATTGCAGCGGGTCATAGCCCAATAAAGTCTCATATAAAATAGAAAGGTTATTGATTGTGATTAACATTCAGAGATGGCAAGCTATCGCCAGCAGCCTCTGTCATTCTTCTCCCATCACAGCCCCATGTAGGACAATTAACACAGGGAAAACGGCCCTCCCTACCCGACAACACTATGTGGCAGGCACCATTCTCCTCCTGTGATGGGGCACATTACACAACTGCATGTATTAAACCGTGCGCTTTCCTACTTTGAAATTCTACGACAAAATAAAAGAAGAGATATTGGCGAAACCCTATACATAAATTCTTCAAGTTCAACACTGAGGATAATGGTATGAACACAAAGGAGACTTGCGGTTTGGTAACAACAACCCCTCCCTCACAAATTTCCATTGCGGTTTGGTAACAACAACCCCTCCTTCACACATTTCCATTGCGGTTTGGTAACAACAACCCCTCCTTACACATTTCCATTGCGGTTTGGTAACAACAACCCCTCCCTCACACATTTCCATTGCGGTTTGGAAACAACAACCCAGGCTCCCTCACACATTTCCAGTGCGGTTTGGTAACAACAACCCCTCCCTCACACATTTCCATTGCGGTTTGGTAACAACAATCCCTCCCTCACACATTTCCATTGCGGTTTGGAAACAACAACCCCTCCCTCACACATTTCCATTGCGTTTTGGTAACAACAACCCCTCCCTCACACATTTCCATTGCGGTTTGGTAACAACAAACCCTCCCTCACACATTTCCATTGCGGTTTGGGAACAACAACCCCTCCCTCACAAATTTCCATTGCCGTTTGGTAACAACAACCCCTCCCTCACACATTTCCATTGCGGTTTGGTAACAACAACCCCTCCTTCACATATTTCCATTGCGGTTTGGTAACAACAATCCCTCCCTCACACATTTCCATTGCGGTTTGGTAACAACAACCCCTCACTCACACATTTCCATTGCGGTTTGGTAACAACACCCCCTCCCTCACACATTTCCATTTCTGTTTGGTAACAACAACCCCTCCCTAACACATTTCTATTGCGGTTTGGTAACAACAACCTCTCCCTCACACATTTCCATTGCGGTTTGTTAACAACAACCCCTCCCTCACACACTTCCATTGCGGTTTGGTAACAACATCCCCTCCCTCACACATTTCCATTGCGGTTTGGTAACAACAACCCCTCCCTCACACATTTCCATTCCTGCACTTAACAGCTGCCTCGGAGACCAGCAAGCCATTTGCTTATAAGTTTGGCCCGAAGGAGATAACATTTACAATGCTGATATGGCTAACCCTCCCACCTCAGCAAGGTTGATAATTGTGATGTGGCTGACACAGCCTGGCTGATAATCCCGATATGCACATTTGTATTGATGATAACTGTAATGCGACACCTCGTCACACATTTTCCCTGCCTCGTGTTATCGGCGAATCACACTCTCACTGTAACAATATAGCTCTAATCTGAGCTAATGAATCAATCTTCATATCCATCCAATACTTTTTATGACAAGTTTTATTCAATTATCAGATAACACTTTCAATAATGTATGACACATCTTCACTAATAATATCTTCGTTTTTAACCATCAAAGTCCATTTATTTGACCACAGGGAGGTTTAATTGACAGATACTGACACCCTGTGGCGATTGCAGCGCTGATGTCATGACGATTTAAGTGTTTGACGAGGACCGTGATTGACACATAACTTTCCCAGGGATTCCTAGTTTTGTTCAGCTTTCTTTGTTTTAAACCTTTTGTATTGATTTATCAATCAATTGTACTTGTAAGCTTACTCAGATTTACATTAACTGTATCAATACACACACTGTCTTACTTACAATAAAGTTATCAGAATAGCATTTCAATGTTTACAAATGAAAATTTATTTTTTATAGTCAACCAACAATACTAATAATAAATAATCAGTGTTTATAATCACATATAAATATTAACAATCAAACACCAATGTTTTATAATCGACAATTAATGTTTATAATCGACAGTTAATGTTGATAATCACACAATGGTATTTACATATATAATCCCATCTCAATCTTGATAAAGACTAAAACTATACAACTGTTTCTAGTAACTACACAACTGTATCCACCTTTAATTTAGATATCTAGCCTTTAGTCTTTACACCAAACTAAACACTCTTAAAAGGCTTAGTTTGTTTTGAACACAAACAGGAATTGAAAACTAATTTTTGCAAGCTTTCGAAAATGTCTGTTTCCTTTGTCAAGCAAAGAGTTTAAATGACCACCGTCTCCTCCTTTGCTTGACAAAGAGAACAGACGTTTTCGAAAGGTCACAAAATATAAGTTTTTAATTCCTATTTGTGTTTAAACAAACTTGGCCTTTATTATTTATACCAGACTGCGGAATCTTATTCCAAATATTAGATTGAGCTATGGACAGTCTTTAGTCCAAAACTTAAGACAGTCAGAAGGACTAAACAAAAGGAGACACAGATCATTTACATTCTTTGCTTGACAAAGGAAACAGATATTTTCGATTCCTGTTTGTATTCAAAACAAACTTAGCCTTTATTAGTGTTCTTATTCTAAACAATCCTTAATTCACGATATCACACAATAATGTCATGATGCTATTTCCTGCCTTACTCCCAGTTATACCCCGACAAATACTGTAAGGCCACTCTAGGCAAACACAAAATAACTAGTGATACCGTTATGAGAATACCCTATCATCCTCTTTCCCATGAAACATCCTTCAAAATATCTTTACTACCCTTGGGAGCACTTAAATTTAGGCCACCCCTGCTCTCTATAAGGTTCTAGAAGTGTTCTCAAAAGATAATAAAATCACTAAAAGGCAAATAAAATTCTTACATATAAATTCTGTGCTTTACTTTATTTCACGTGGATTATTTTAACTTAAAGTTCATCTTTCATGAAGTTCATTTATGGCTTTTCACCTGCAATTCATATGATTTCATGAAAACAAATTGATTCACAAACATCCATAATCATCCAAACCCTACCACCCTTTTAAAACATTACTTACCATTTCTATCCAGCAATAAGCCCATGCCTGGTAAAAATCCCACCCATCGTTTTCAGATCCTTCAAATATATTTTCTAATTTAACCCCCTGTTTCCCTGCAATAAGTCCATTCCCAATTTTCCATCACATATTCATAGTAGACCCTTGGCTTACTGCAGGTTTACAAGGCCAAATAAATGTTATTGTCTGTTACTTACTGGTTACCCTACCTACCCTAAATTATTGTGCCCACCCTAATTTTCTTTGGACAATTTTCAAGGAAAGTCAAAATAACTCTCCTATATAAACCTTATTAAAAAAAATGGAGAAATAAAATGCATTACCTACCAACCCTAATCTATTCAGACATGTTACAGGAAACATGTTTTTTTGTTTGGCCTAAGGGAACTATACAGATCATGGTCATATCTTGAATAGACATTAATTTCAAGCATTATGATTGATATAAGGAATAAGCCTTTAACATAATTTTAAAGGCCCAGATTCCTTTGGCTTAGGAGAGGTAAACCATTGTACCCGCTATATGTCTACACATTATCAAATGACAAACTGATGGAGGTCAAAATAAAACCTACGGTTAGTTTTCTTCTGGACAAATCGGAGCTTGCAGGCAGTTCTGTATGTTGCAAAACGGATTACATCGAAGTTGTGGCCCCCTGAAAAACAAAATAAAATATGTCTGTAACGGACTACCCAGTGTTCACAGCCCTAAGATTGCACTTTATTTTGTGAAGTGTTCATATTTGGAACTTACAGCAGCAGTGTAGATATAGGGTAATTAATCTGGACAGAGAGACCAGAATAATTGTAATATTAGATGCAGGGGGATAATACATTCAAAGCTAATAGAAATTTGATGTTTTTACCCCCTTCTTTTCATAAAATTGGAAATATTAAGTAGACACATGGACAATGTGTTAATTCTGTTCTCTCTAACAAAGGTCTCATTACAATGAATTATTGGCATTTTAGATAAGGGTACCATGTTCTGCCACACAAACTGTCCCCCTGAAGTCATTAATTAACCAGACATACAGGTGTCTCCTTTTCTCACTGCCGCATGTTAATGAGTATTCACCGCATGGTAGGAAAACTGTTAGACAATCCTCTCTATTGAAAATGAAGTAATTCATTATACATATGTGAGGCCAAATGACTTCACAGCCAGATTATTATACAACTACCAGCATTTCTCTCTCTGTATATGGGGAGTGCCAGAGAATCTTGGAAGCCTTACAAACCCCCACAAAGCCTGCTCACAGACGTGTCAGTCGCAGCAGAGTATCATAATGCACATCATTGTCAACTTTGAAAACAGATAATGAAGAAAACATCCAAAGAAGAAAAAATCAATCAATGTTTGGTTCTGAAGTTTAAACAGAAAGGTCGGACACAAAGGATGATGGGAATCGACTTTAAAGATGCAGTGCAGACCCATAACAAAGCAGAACTTGTGGAGGATATGAAAATGGATTGCAAAGCTTAAACTAAGGTAGAATTTAGGATGATAATTGCTTGTAACAGAAATTACAGTAGAAAAAAGGGGGAATTTGAGGATGGTTATTGCTTGTAAAAGCTTTCGAAATAAAGTATAAACTTGAGGATAATGAAAAATGGCTGTCAACCATTAACTGCGAACACAACAGAAACATGGAAGATTTGCCTTGAAGAGCAGCTAGATTGAGGACATCAGGTGGATAAATGTGTGGACATGTGATGGGACGAGAACAGCCCTTGATTAGCTGTGAGTGGCCCCCGATTGTGTCCTAATTACGACACGGCACACAAAGAATAACTAGTGATTTGTCACAATCTCTCCTATTAGCACAATATCAGTGACATATTGATCTCCTGCTTGGAATCGCCTCTCACAAAACAACATTCCAGAAAAACCTACGCATCTCGGTGACGAGCTGACGGTTGTCTCTGAATGTGTCGGATGCTGGACTGAGATCCTCTAGTATCTTGTTCTCATCTTCTGCATTATTGCCCTGGATATAGCCTGCAAAGATAGAAGTATAATACAAATTTAAAGTTAGATCGCCATAGCAACCATTTATTGGTAATGTTTTCCAGTATTTCAATAAAATGGTCAGCAAAATAAAACAATTCAAAACATCGGTATTCACCTACAAAATTATACATCACACACACAATCAACATTTCCAAAGAAACAGTCAACATACCAAATCATTCGACTTAACCTCTCAATAGGGTTGTCATGGAGACGTTACCAAGATATTTGCCTGTAGAATAACAATTGCATGTCAAAGACTCAAATAAATTAATTTTAATGGTTTTTAACTGAAATAATCCTGATTGTATCGTCAGAATAAAATTAGGCTGCAGGTGTGTTAATACAGCGACCATTTTGTAACAAAACTTTTCATCTGATTTTGACATGACCTCACGACTTTTAAATTGAGCCTCTCCTTCAACCTTTGTACTTTATTTTGACATGACCCTTAAACTTGAGTTTCTTGTGACCTTTGTACTTGATTTTGACATGACTCTTAAACTTGAGTTTCTTGTGACCTTTATACTTGATTTTGACATGACCCTTAAACTTGAGTTTCTTTTGACCTTTGTAGGTACCTTGTTTTGATATAACCCTAAGACTTGTGATTTAAGCTTTTGGTGACTTTGTTCTTGGTTTCACAAGACCCCACAACTTTTAGTTTGAGTCTCTTGTGACCTTTGTACCTCATTTTGACATGAATCCATGACTTTTAATTTGAGCCTCTAATGATTTTTGTACCTAATTTTGAAAAGATGCCATAACTTTTAATTTGAGCCTCTTGTGACCTTTTGCGTTGTGTGACATCCTGATATTCTGGACCCAGGAGGTCAGTTACATGGTGAGTGACCACACACACATTCTCACCAATATGAAATGTTTCATTGTGATGGTCAATAAAATCAATTACAGTTTACAATGTAAATGTATCACATTAAGGCCTCTCAAAGGATAAAAAGTTCAGAGAACCTGCCATGTTTACCAAGAACAAAGTGAATTATATCCATATCTCTTATAAAATTCATTGTAAACAACGCTAGCCACCTTTCACTATTGTAGCTCCCTAATATAGATAACAAACACAGCTCCCTAATATAAATCACAAATATAACTCCCTAACAGAGATCAAAACTGTAGCTCCCTAACAGGGATCAAAACTGTAGCCCCTAATATAGATCACAACTGTAGCTCCCTAACAGAGATCAAAACTGTAGCTCCCTAACAGAGATCAAAACTGTAGCCCCCTAATAGAGATCAAAACTGTAGCCCCCTAATAGAGATCAAAACTGTAGCTCCCTAACAGAGATCAAAATTGTAGCCCCTTGCCTGAGGAAAGGTGTAAAACAGGGTCACCCTCCTCAGCATCCTCCAATCTTGTACACATAGAACATCTCATAAAAATGTCTTGTTGAAACATGGGTGGGAACATTGTGTGAGGAATGGCTCCCAATTGGCCTATAGTTTTTGTTCAGACACATAAATCAGACTATCTGGCGACCCCAGTGTCATGTGACCCCAGTTGTGTGACCCAGGCCGTGTCTTCTGGTTTGAGAACACTGCTCCACAGGGGAAGCTTAAAGACCTTGTATACTTGTAACATTGTCAGGAGAGCCGATCCTGACATCTCCTCCAGTGTCATCCCGAAGATTCAAGCATATACCTGATATAGCAGCACCCATCAAGCCTGGCTTCCTGTGTAAATGGTATTAATGTGTCTGAGGAATTGCAATTTCCAGATTCTCCTTGATGTCAACTGCTATAAACTCAATATTTCCAATAAACTAACCAAGTTTATTTTTAATCATGCCATTTGCAATACCTATCAACTTTGCCGTTGAATTGTGTGATGGAGAAGATCTGAGGAAGTGACCTGATCACCACACAGGACTGGTTCCATTTGGCGGAACTATCATGCTGGTATCTCTGGGAGCCATGGCAAAGTCTACATACAAATATCGCAAGACATAACCAACTTTCCAGTCCCTGATCTTTCTTAAAAAACATAACATCATCAACCTTTCTGACCTAGAACCTCTCTTACATGACATCACTAAATTTCTTGTCCACAAACCTTCCTTGCATGACATTACAGACCTTTATAACCCTAAATCTTTCTTTGACGACATTTTTTACCTTCTTGTCTCCAAACTTTCCTTGCAAGGCATTGCAGACCTTCCTGACCCCAAACTTTCCTTGCATGACATTTCTGAACTTCTCATCTCCAAACTTTCCTTCCATGGCATTGCTGATTGACATTTCCAACAACCTAATCCCAACACCTTCCTGGCATATAATTTCAAACCTTCAATTTACCAAAAATTTACCATTGTAACAATGCAGAAAGAAACTACAAGACAGCAACGCTTCAACATGAAGGTACACAAAATACAAAACTTTAATATTTCCTATTTAGTTTCTGGAACACCAAATTATTTACTATAATGGAACAAAAGATGCCTTTAGCTTTCGTATTATATATTTCTTGGGTATCACCAGCATGTGTGTCTATTAATAGAGCTCATTAAGTGGAGTCAGGTTTGGAATTTAAGCTTTCCAGGTACCCAAAATGGAACACCTCATTTTAAGTATTAAAATATTCAAAGTATTTTTCTTCATTTTAAGAAATTTTTGACACATTCTGATGAATTTTAGTCATGTACTCCTTGAAATATTAATTTGAATGCAAAAATGTCCATGTTTAGAAATGTATAAATTGACAATATGGTCTATTTGTAAAATATCAAAACCGAACAATATGTCTAATGAAAAACATGTAGTTCCTAATGCATATGTTTTTAAACTGAAAATTAAAGTCAATATGTTAAAAAAAAAAGTAAAAAACCTTCATATGTTTTGCATTCCAAATAGTTCTGCTGGTTTAAACAGTTTTCATTGGAGTGTTGATCAATTTACATACAATGTTAAGTTGTCTACTTACAAGAGAGCATAGACAAATTTTACCTGTCCTCAGACACATATTAACGGTCCTCAAGACACATATTACCTGTCCTCAGATACATATTACCTGTCCTCGAGACACATATTACCTGTCCTCAGACACATATTACCTGTCCTCAAAACACATATTACCTGTCCTCAGACACATTTAACCTGTCCTCAGACACATTTTACCTGTCCTCAGACACATATTACCTGACCTAAGACACATTTTACATTTTGTACCTGTCCTCAGACACATTTTACCTGTCCTCCGACAATTTATCTGTCCAAAGACATAGTTTACCTGTCCTCAGACACAGTTTACTAGTCCTCAGACACAGTTTACCTGTCCTCAGACACATTTTACCTGTCTTCAGACACATATTACCTGTCCTCGAGACACATATTCCCTGTCCTCAGACACATTTTACCTGTCTTCAGACACATATTACCTGTCCTCAGCCACATATTACCTGTCCTCGAGACACATATTACCTGTCCTCAAGACACATATTACCTGTCCTCAGACACATATTACCTGTCCTCGAGACACATATTACCTGTCCTCAGACACATATTACCTGTCCTCAAAACACATATTACCTGTCCTCAGACACATTTTACCTGTCCTCAGACACATTTTACCTGTCCTCAGACACATATTACCGGTTCTCAGACAAATATTACCTGTCCTCAGACACATATTTCCTGTCCTCAAGACACATTTTACCTGTCCTCAGACACATATGACCTGTCCTCAGACACATTTTACCTGCCCTTCCTGTCCTCAAGACACAGTTTACCTGTCCTCAGACACCTTTTACCCGTCCTTCCTGTTCTCAAGACACAGTTTACCTGTCCTCAGACAGTTTATCTGTCCTCAGACACATATTACCTGTTCTCAGACAAATATTACCTGTCCTCAGACACATATCACCTGTCCTCAGACACATATTACCTGTCCTCAAGACACATATTACCTGTCCTCAGACACATATCACCTGTCCTCAGACACATATTACCTGTCCTCAAGACACATTTTACCTGTCCTCAGACACATATTACCTGTTCTCAGACAAATATTACCTGTCCTCAGACACATATTACCTGTCCTCAAAACACATATTACCTGTCCTCAAGACACATTTTAACTGTCCTCAGACACATATTACCTGTCCTCAGACACATATTACCTGTACTCAGACACATATTACCTGTCCTCAGACACATATTACCTGTACTCAGACACATATTACCTGTCCTCAGACACATATTACCTTTCCTCAAGACACATATTACCTGTCCTCAGACACATATCACCTGTCCTCAGACACATATTACCTGTCCTCAAGACACATTTTACCTGTCCTCAGACACATATTACCTGTTCTCAGACACATATTACCTGTCCTCAGACACATATTACCTGTCCGCAAAACACATATTACCTGTCCTCAAGACACATTTTACCTGTCCTCAGACACATATGACCTGTCCTCAGACACATTTTACCTGTCCTCAGACACATATTACCTGTCCTTAAGACACATTTTACCTGTCCTCAGACACATATTACCTGTCCTCAAGACACATATTACCTGTCCTCAGACACATATTACCTGTCCTCAGACACATATTACCTGTCCTCAAGACACATATTACCTGTCCTCAGACACATATTACCTGTCCTCAGACACATATTACCTGTCCTCAAGACACATATTACCTGTCCTCAGACACATATTACCTGTCCTCAGACACATATTACCTGTCCTCAAGACACATATTACCTGTCCTCAGACACATATTACCTGTCCTCAGACACATATTACCTGTCCTCAAAACACATATTACCTGTCCTCAGACACATATTACCTGTCCTCAGACACATTTTACCTGTCCTCAGACACATATTACCTGTCCTCAGACACATATTACCTGTCCTCAGACACATATTACCTGTCCTCAAAACACATATTACCTGTCCTCAGACACATATTACCTGTCCTCAAAACACATATTACCTGTCCTCAGACACATTTTAC